GAACAGGCAAAAACCCCCCAAAATTTGGTATTTGAAAAATTTGTTCAGTATGGAACCTAGTGGTTTATTTATTACAAAAATCATTAACAGAGCTGTGAGTTTACTATATTCATTAAAAATAAATAATTAATACAAAACAGATTCTGGCATAGATATGTGAAATCAAAAAAATCAATGGATTGAACCTACATGTTTCATCTGCTCACAAACTTGCACACACTACTATTCTGCTCAAAAGACAATTGCAGCAAAGAAAAAGACAACTGCCACTTTACAAACAAGCCTAAAAGCATCCCATCAAAGAGGCCAAAATAAAAATGCATATATGTATAAAGTGTTACTGGTCAACACAAACGCTACTTCTTCTAGAAGAAATTTAACTGCATAGGTTAAAGAAAAACAAAAAACAATGTGCAACATTTTAAGCCACTAAAACACCAAAAAAAAAAAAAAACCCACACACACCAAAATCACTGTTTTACGATGATTAACATGCAAACATGAAATATTGATAAAAAATCAGGAAGTAAATACCTGGACTGATATAATGTCCATTGTTGGGAGAATTTCTCTTCAGTTTAAATGTCTTATTCTCTAAAGAAATCTTAAAGTGCTAACTTTATATAAAGCAGGCAAAGTCAAGTAATTTGTTATTAAGCCAATTTTTATAGAGCTAAAACAAGGAACTAATGATAAACTAAAATGAAACAAGACAGACATGGAGAGAAAAACTGATGAGTTGTAGCTGGACAGAGGAATAGATGCTATTATGCCATCCAGACCTTTTCATTTCCAGTGAACACATTAGCTAAGATTCAGGTCTGCTGGTTTTAGTACACTAACTCCTTTGGATTTTGGGGTTTACCAAAATTTGTACATCAACAAGCACACAAGTCCTAAGGAAAAGAAAGCCACTTAAAAAGATCAACACTGGACACTCATTAAAGCAATCTTAAAAAGTTGTCTACGACTATAAATGAATATAAAAAATGTAATATCTCTCACAAACTAAAAACTGTAACCTAGTCCAAAGTTTTACTCCTGCCCTTTAGCTGCTTTTTCAAGGAAGTACACATTAACTAAATGGTGATTGAGGTGTTTGCTGTAATCTTTTTCCTTTCTAAAAGAACAATCACAGAAGATACAAACAAAATCTCCCTCAGCCACTTTGACTTGTGGGGCTTCTTTGGCATTTTTTGCACTAGTTTCTTGGGGAACTGGCTGAGCCCCCATGCAATCCAGAATCATCACTACCCTCTGACATGTTGTCACTTAGGTCACTTCCATCGTGACTGTGGATGCCTTCATCTTCATCAATTTCCTAAGACTCATTTACTGTCACACTAACAGGAGCAGGAGCTGAAGACAGAGTAGTTTTGGACACTGCTTCTTGTTCTTCCACTGATGGAGAGAAAAGTGATGGTGAAGCTGGTTCTTCAAGTGCAGCACCTTTAGCTGGGAGATTCTCTGTTGTGCTCTCATCAGTGACCATTTACTTTTTGTGAGGCTCATCTGAGTGAGTCTGATATTCATCATCTGAAGTTTCACACTCTGGCAAGCTCAACTTTGAGACCGAAGCTGAAACACTGGAAGATTCCTCAGCAGCGGCTCCATCAGCTATACTCTCATCTGCCTCTTGTGCTCCCTCTTTCTGCAGGGGGCCTTCTGTATTTCCTGGACCATCAGAGAGTAAATTTTGGTCTCCTCCTCCTCCTCCTTCTCCCTTGGCAGTGGTGATGGTGCTGAGAGGGCCTGTGCCTCTGTACTCTCCTTTAAAACCTGACTGTCTTTAACAGGCACTAAGCCAACTTCAATAGGGACTTACTCTTTGTGGGCCACTTTGTTCTGCATGTTGGGGTTTTCCTTTTTACCATCTTTTCAGGGAGATTTCTTGGAGAATGACTCCATGTGAAGGGGAGGCTGTACTGGAGGTGGCAGCTCCATGTGCCCAGGTTCTGTATGAGCAGGTTCCATGGAAGGTGGTGGTTCCTGCACAACTTCCATGGAGGCTGGCTCCACAGGTGGACAACCTGCCTCAACACCCTCCATGGGAGGAGGGGGCGCCTCCCACACAGGTGGTGGCTCAGCCTGTGCCTGCACAGGCACTCCTTGCACTGCCTTCCCTGGAGGTGCAGGCCCCTCCTCAGCACCCTGGCCAGGGACCACCCTCACAGAATCCAGAGGCAGCCCAATTGCTGAAGGCCCCTAGGCAGCAGCTTCCTTCTGAGAAGGCTCCTTCTGAGCAGGCTTGCTGTTTTTCTTACTTGATTTACTTTTCAGAGCTTTCTTCTTTGTACTCTTCTTCACACAGGTATTTTGCTTTTTATTTTCCTCTACTTTGCTGTCACCCTTTGGCACCTCCTGACCTTTTTTGGATTTGCTTCCTACTTTCTTCTTCCTTTTCGTTATAGGTTCCTCCTCATTCACAGGATCACACGAAGATTGGGCTTCAGCTTCCAGCTTCCTTTTGCTTTTCTTGGTTTTACAGGGTTTTTCTGAATTATTTCCTGTGTGCACATCCATCTCTTTTGTCTCTGTGGCGGATTTGCAAGTTCTGGTAGTCACCTGGATCACTGAGACATTGCTACAAGGATTTTTTTCTTTTGAAACATCTTTTTTCTCCACTTTTACAGATTTCTCATTTTTCTTCCCAGCCACATCCCCCTTTGTTTTCGTCTGTTCTGTTTCTGTTTTTTCATTAGTAATACTGTTATCAGGCAAGTCAACCTCTAGTTTTTTGTTTTTCTTTAGTTTCACTTTTGAGACATCCATTGTTTTATTAGGACAAGTAGGGTGCTTGGATTTGAAATGATACTGGAGATTACACTTTTTAGAAGCTGCATAGTCACATACAGGGCAATTGAACTGCCTAGGGTTAACACGGAGCTCCACGTGTTTTTTGAAATTGCTTCTATCTGCTGTTTTGTAGTCACAGTGAGGGCAATTAAGAGATTTAGGACCATTGTGAACCTGTCTTGAATGGTGAGTTACTTCATGCTGATTAGAGGCCACATAACTGCACTGATCACATTTAAATGGTTTCTTACATGAATAAGTGCACATATGTCTAGTTAAATGAGTCTTCTGGGAACTTGAATAAGGACAAAGTTCACATTTATATGGGCATTCTCCTGTGTGAGTGCAGACATGCTGGAAATAATTATTTTTTCTGTCTGAGAAGTAGTTGCACTTGCCACAAGTGTACACTTTCCTAGGGAAGTGGTTCCTCTGGTGTTTCCTCCAGTGGTACTCGCTGATGGTTGTGTACATGCAAATGATGCACTTGTACACTCGCTCATTATCCCCAGCTCTGGTGCGGTGCTTCAGGTGAGTGGTGTAATGATCATACCAATTTGTGTTATAGCCACAGTGGTCACAGTGGATGGGGCCCTTCGAGAAATCTCCCTCCTCGGCAGTGGAAGCACCAGACTCCCTGGCTTTGGCTTGGTTCTCTGCACTTTCTTCCACAAAAAACTTCTTGGCACTGTGAGCTCGGATGTGATGCACAAACTGTTCCTCAGATTCTGCTTCATATTGGCATGGCTTACAGTGAAATGGTTTGGTTTCCAAGTTCTTGAATTTGTCCTCTGTTCCAGGTGTTTCAGGAGGAAGATCTTTATTTGAGCTGTAAATCTTGGGAACAGCTGATGCCTCAAATGCAGGTTGTGGTTCTACAACACTGGGCTCCAGATTCCTCAGTTCCATGTTCTCCAGTCCATTATTAGGTTCACCCTTTACTTCAGAAGACTCCTCCAGTCCTTCTCCATCACTATCTGAGAAGTTGTTATCCCCAACAGGCATCAATTTTGCCATCTGCCTTTCTTCACCAACCAGGTAATCACAGCAGCTGCCATTTACTACTCCAGTTAGGGCCACATTGGCCAACATGATGAGCTGAGGCATAGCCAGTTCAGCTTTGGAGAGGTCGTGCAGGTCATACATGTCGTTAGGCAGAGCCATGCCCATGTTGTTGCTGCTGGTGAACAGCCCAGCTCCTCCAGATGCCTACCCCATCACCTGGGTGGCCATTGTACTCAGCCTTCCTCAGCGCCGAGGGGCGGCCCAGCCACAGCGCCAGTCCTCCTCCAACTACTTTTCTTTGTTGCTGGAGTTTCCGGGGAGGGGTGGGGGAGGGGGGCAAAAGTTGGGCGCAGAGGCCCGCGGAGGCCCAGGAGGAGGGCTGCAGAGCACACTCAGGCCCCTGGGCCTTGTCCTGCCATGCGGCCGCCATCGCCCCCGGGGTCTGGGGCCCCGGGCCTCGGCGCTTTCTTGTTTCTTTTGATCAACATGCTTTTTGAAGTTGTTTATCTATGTGTTTGGCTCAGAAATAATTGTTCTTTTTATTTTAGAATAGTTCTCTATTACATGAAAATGCCAATTAATGTATTCATCCTTGAATTTATGAGTTGTTTTAGGTTTGAGGTTCTTATTAACTAAGTTTTAGGGGGGTTTTGCATTGTATTTTATAGACTTGTGCATTCTTGACTATGTTCTTAGGACTGAAAGTGCTGAGTTAAAAAGTTGGTTGGTACTGCTTTTGGTAAACAGTTTGGTAAAACTGAAAACAAATTTACACTCTACCAGCCATGCACAAAAATGTCTATTGCTCTAAAGTCTTTCTAATACTTGGTATTGTTTGACTTTAAAAAATTAAAACAATGTTGGTAGACCTTGAAGTGGTATTGTGGTTAAAATTCAGTTTTTTCATGAGTAACTATGTCGAGCAGCATTTCATATGCTTTTTCCTTAGCCATTTGGATATTATTTAGAGGGGACAACTGGTGATCCACTAAAATAACACACACAAATTATATGTAATTTTCTACTTTAGTGGGTATTTTTATATATCTTGAAATAAATTTTTGTCAGTGTATTCATCAGAGTTCTCCAGAAAGATAGAAAGAGTAGAATTATCTGTTTATCATCTATCATTTATCTCTATAATAAAAAGGGACTTGTTAGATTGGTTCACATGGTCACAGGAGTTGAAATGTTCCACAATGGCTGTCTGCAAGCTGGAGAGCCAGGAAAGTTCATATCCATTCTGTCCTAGGAGCTGGAAACCTCAGAATGAAGGAGACCAGTACACCACCCTCTTCCATAGCAAAATCCTGAAAGCTCTGAGAGGTTCACTGGTGGAAATCCACATTGAAAGGCTGAAAGTACAGATTGTGATATCCACAGGCAACAGAACCATAAAATGTACCCACTTAAGAAGGAAGAGGAAAAGAGAAGAGTGAAATGAGTGTCTTCCCTAGTTCATATGTCTGTTTGGGGTGGGAGTTCCCCAGGCTTCTCTTCTGTATGACTTCTTAGAATCTACACATAAGTGAGATCACACAGTACTTCACTATTTGTCCCTGACTCATTTCACTTAGCATGATATCCAGTAGGTTCATCCATGTTGTCATGAATGGTAGGATTTCCATTTTATTTTATGGCTGAATAATATTCCACTGTATATTCTGCTTCCACATCTTGGCTACTGTGAATAATGCTTCCTGAACATGACATTGCAGATGTCTCTTCAAATTCTGATTTCATTACCTTTGGAAATGCTCCCAGATGTGAGATTGTGGATTGTATAGTGGCTCTATTTTTAGATTTTTGAGAAACTTCCATAACTGCTTCCTATAATGGTTGTAGCAATTTACATTTCCACAAACAGTGTCCCATGGTTTCCTCAGTTTCTACATCCTCAACAACAGTTGGTATCTCTTATCTTATGGAAAATAATCATATGAATAAGCACAAGGTGATACGCATTTCAGTTTTTGTTTATGTTTCCATGATGATTAGCACCAATGAGCACCTTTTAAAATATCAGTTCATCTTTTGGGTCCCTCCTTTGGAAAAATGTTCTATTTTGGCTTATTTTTAAGTTGTGTTATCTGTTCTGTTCCATTTTTACTTTTTGTTTTTGCAATTGAGTTGTGTGGATTATATATCTTGGACATTAACTATGTATCGGATTTTTGATTTGCAAAATTTTCTCCCATTCTGTAGATTTTCTTTTTGCTTTTCATTTAGTCAAGCATTTCCTTTGTTTTACGGAAATCTTTTTGTCCCACTTGCTTAGTTTTGTTTTTGTTGCCTGGAATATTGTGTTATATTATAAAAGCACAGCCAAAACCAATGTCAAGGAGCATTTTCTTTTAGATGGTATATATTCAGATCTTACATGTGAGTCTTTGATAAACTTTGAGTTAATTTTTATAGATAATATGGGGCAAATGTTTATTGATCATTTTGCTCGTGTATGTCCATTTTTCCCAACACTATTTATTGAAAATATTTTTCTTTTTCCATCGCATGTGTTTTGTGCCTTCATCTGACATTCATTGATCCATAGGGAAAGTCCTGTTGTCTGTCTCCAGGAAATTGGTATCAGTACAGGGAAGGAGGTGAGGCCCAGTGCTGCTCATCTGTGCAGCTGTGGCTGTCCACTGACCTGCACTCCTGAGCCTAACTGAATATTGCCCTCTTCAAATTCTTACAATGCTAAGGCTGCATTAGGGACCTTGGGAAAGATTGCAAAGTGGTAAAGAAAAAACGGCTGAAAGATAAATTTCATACAAAGCCTCATTACAACCAGACACAGTCATGGACCTAGGGAGATGATTAGACACATTAGAGGTGGACAGAAGCCATGTCCCCTTAGGCTTCTATATTACTCTGGATAGGGTTGTACTGAATATCATCTGGCTGACTCTAGGTGTTTAGTGAGACAAGGAGTCAGAAAGATTAAATTCTGTAAACAGAAAAGGGAAATTCTATATTCAGGCAGAACAAAGGATCTTTTCTGACATGGCCACCTGGGGAGAAGTTGCTCAAGTATGGAGAAGACCCCAGCAGTGTCTCTTCTCCTGGAGCCCACTTCACTCAGCTCCAGCTGCTTTGCATGCTCCTCCCAGCTCACCCTCCTGTCCAGTGCCCATATCACTGCCCCATTCTGCTGGGTGATCTGCTTCAGGTAGGACCCAGAGTGAACCATGGAATCCCCAGCTCAGCTTCTCTGCCTCCTGTTACTCTGGCTCCCAGATGAGGGACTACAGGATGGATCAGAACATCTGTGGAAACTTTCAATGCTGTTGTGTCCTGCATCCTGGCACCTCTGATCAGCAAGCATAGTAATTAAAGTTCAGTGTTGATCAATGAGCTTAGATCTATTGAGAAGACAGTGGGTATGATCTGAATTATATGGGTGACATTTCTATATTTCAATCTGAGATACCAGTGGACAAACCCTATTGACCCAGTCTCCAGCTTCCCTGGGTTTGTCTCCAGGAAAAAATGGCCACCCTCACCTGCAGGACCAGTCAGAATGTTAGCAACTACCTAGCCTGGTACCAGCAGAAACCTGGACAGGCTCCCAGGCTCCTCATCTATGGTGCCTCCAGCAGTGCCACAGGCATCCCTGCCCAGTTCACTGGCAGTGGGTCAGGGACAGACTTTACTCTCAGCATCAGCAGCCTGAAGCCTGAAGATATTGGAGTTTATCACTGCTACCAGTATAGTAACTGGTATGTCACAGTGATTCAACATGGAACAAAAACCTCCCCAAGACTATGTCATTGTTTATGTCATAGCACTTGCTTCCTTTTTGGACAGCTGCTGTGGTACCTGCTCAGTTTAAATGTAACTGCCTCAATCTGGCAATCCTGTGATTCTGAAAATTAACTTGCTGATGAGATTTTCACTGAATACTGGATTTTCCCTCAGACTCAGTTGCACATGTTTAGAAATATTTTGCCTGCTAATGACATCAGCTCAGACTCACATGAGTGGATACCTGAAAAGATACACATTTTATATCCAATATAATGAAGTAACACAACATCCAAGAACACAAATTACATCATCTATATGTGACATTAACTCATTATGCTTCTTATTTGTGAACAGTAATCATTCCTCCCATTTTCTTTTATGTTATTAATTTGATTCATTGTAGTACCAATTCTCATTGCTGTTACTTTAAGCATTAGCCTTTTCTAAAAAGGTGCATTTAAAGTTTTGTTTTTATCATCACTTCTCAGCCTTTATGCTAAGATCAAGTGTAGTTTTATTTTTCTTATATACCAGCACAGCTGCTAGATCTATACCTATTTTCACTCACTACCTATGTTTCTTCCATCTTCATGTGGATCCTGGCATTTCCAGTCATCCTACTGGCTATACAAAATACTTCACACAAATTTTCTTTTGAAATCTGCCTGAGATTTTGTTTTATTGATACTTTTATTTCTTCCTTTTCACCTCTTTCTCTTTCCTCTTTCCTTTCATTTTTAAATGGTCTTAAACTCTATAAAATGATTGCAACACCCATAATAATTATCAACAGTGACAGCTCTTTCTTATTTATTTGTTTATTAACATACTCATTCATTTATTAACTTCAGTAAGATATTCAGCTCCTGTGACTCTAAGACACAGTGCAAGTAGGGCAATAACATGTATCTGGCTTGATGATCTTCCCAGTTCCATATGCAGACTTCCCCTTACTTAGTTAAACTCAATTGTAAATATTATATTCTTTATAATTGGACCTTTTCTCAGTAGTTTGTTTCTTGCATATGTATTCACCAAGTAATATTTTAAGATTTATTTGTTTAGAACCTTCTGAAAAGGAAATCATTTGAAATATATATATATATATATGGTGTTATCTAAAATGTGGTGCTAGTTACGTTTCTCTCATTGCTGAGACAAAATACCTGACACCCAAAGTTAAAGGGGTAAAGGCTTATTTGGCTTACAGCTCATAGAGCTTTCAGTCCATAATTGTCTGGCTCCAAGGCATAGAGGAAGAGGGGCATCTGTTCATGGAGGCAGCAGACATCAAAAGAACCAAGATACCTTAAAAGCTTCTTTCTACCCTCTTTTTCCCATCCAGACTACTGGGATCAGGGCAGTGCCAACCCAATCACTCAAATGTAGTGTAGTGATTTCGAAATCATAGGCCCTTAATTCCAGCACCACACTTTTCAGATACAGCCTCCTCTGAAAAAGCATGAGGCTTAGGGGGAACATCTAAACATGAGCCATAATATATGGTAAATGCTTGAACTAAAAATTTACAATAAAGGACACAGTGCCATTATGTTCCATCACAATATTCCTCCTTGCTTTACTCACTCATCCTGTTGTTCTTGCCATTTTCTGAAGCAGTCCTGAAGTCTTCTTTCATTAGTGTCTTTGTTTGTGTTGTTGTGGCTTCCTTGATGTCCTGAATTGATTCAAAATATTTACCTTTCATGGTCATTTTGACTTTGGGGAAGAGCCAGAACTCATACTCTACCAAAACCAATACATAAAGTAGATGAGGACAAATCATAATATGTACAAGAGACTGTTTCTGTTAGATGTCCCTAGGTGGCAGCATTCACTGATTTTTGACCACACAAAGCAATGGGGAGTATTTCAAGGAAGATTAATGACAATGTGTCTTTTACTGTAACATTTTTTTTAAAAAAATGTAAACCTTCTGCCTATTTGTCAATTACAGCTTGAATATATTAGAAACATCTTTGCAATTTCAACAAAAATCCCCTGGGATTCTGTGTTATTGAGCTTTCAGTTGCTGTGAAAAATTATTTGAGAAAAACAGCTTAAGAGAAGAAAGGTTTATTTTAGCTTACAGTTTCAGAGGTATCTGTCCACGGTCAGTTAGCTGCAATGCTTTGAAGCCTGTGGTGACCTAGAAGCATAATGGTGGAAGGAAGGCTTTGCAAAATGAAGCTGCTTATCTGACAACCATGAAGCAAGAGAGAGAGAGAGAGAGAGAGAGAGAGAGAGAGAGAGACTAGGTATAAGATATGGCTCACACAGTTACATTCCCATCATCCACCCTCTTTACCCAGGCCCTGACTCCTAACAGTCCATTCCTTCCTAATAATTCCATTAAGTTATGATCTCATTGATGTATGAATCCACAGATGAATTTAGAGCCCTCATGATTCAATCATTTTCTGAAAATCTCACTTTTCACTCTGAGACATTTGGAGGACAGTTAGATCTAAACTATAGCTAACTCTGATTGTCACTTGATTGAATTAAATCGGAGAAAGTTGTATGTACAATATTAAACCACTTCATACATTATTGTAACATAACCTATAATTTACTGTAGTTGCCTTCATTTCAATCAGTAGTATTTTGTACATTTACACATAATTTGTGTTAACATTATTTTAGTATATTGTCAGGGATAAAAGTGCAGAAATAGTGTAAGGAACACAGACCCTTTACTTATGTTCACTTAGCATCAATATAGGACATACTACTTCTGTATCCTGCTATAATTATTATCTCCCATTCTAGATATGATGATGTAAAGCAAATCATCTGAAAACACTGAAGCACATAGCACAATGCAATTACTCATCCTTCCTTGGAAAAGGATGAGCCAGTGCATTTTAGATATCAAGAGACATGATACCTTCACCAATGTGAAGGCTCCATGAATTTTTGTAGGGCTTGCATTCTGCCCTCTCCAGTGCACATGTTTTCATTATGGTGGAATTGTGGTTACCATTTCCTGTTCATCACATCTAATTAACCTGCTATCATCAGTGTCATGTTAAATGGGGAAATGATTGGTGGAAAGTTGGCATGATGTACTTTTCAGTCTACTTTGTGACAAGGAGCAAGAAAGTGAACACAGCCTGAGACCAAGCTGAGGACCTGAGCTTCTGTTCATTCTAGATGACCGAGAACTGTACCAGAGGACAGTGACAGATTGTGTCTTCTCTCTGCCACTGATCCCAGCCTGTGGTCCTGCAAGGGGCCAGCACTTCAGAAACTCAGAAGTGCTCATCAGCAGATGACCAGCAGGGGGAGACATAAAACACTCAGAGCAGGGACAAGAACAGCGACCACCTGACAAGTAAATTCTGTTTAAACCAACAAGAAATCCCCATGATTTGCATTTATTCTTCCTCTTACATCTTTAGTGACTTTGCTTATAAGAGCTCTCATCTGTGAGATGTGTCCTGAGAAGAATAGATCCCCCAAAAGCAAGACGATGTCTTTCTTTGGGCTTCTACTCTGTGGGTCCAGGTGAGACTATTTGTACAAAGCTAAAAGTGGCAGTGTTACTTAAATCTCTAACTTTTTTTCATTTTTGGGAGCTCTGCAACAAATGTATATCTTGCCTTTGGAATCTGATTGTTTTTAAAAATGGAATACTCTCTCTTCTCTTTAAACTATGTTAATGGTGATCTTCATATGCATATTGTCATTTTCTCCTGGTATCTGGTTCCAGCCTCCAGAAGTGAGACTGTGCTGACCCAGTCTCCAGCTGTCCTGTCTATGATGCAAGGGGAGACAGCCACTATCGCCTGCTGAGCCACTCAGAACATTGGCTCCAACTTACACTGGTAACAGCAGAAACAAACCGAGGCTCCAAAGCTTCTCATTAAGTGGAGTTTCCAGTCCATCTTTGGGGTTCCTTAGAGGTCAAGTGGCAGTGGATCTGGGTCAGATTTTGCCCTCACTATCAGCAAGCAGTATGCAGCCTGAAGATGCTGCAACTTATTATTGTCAGCAAGGATATAGTATTCTTCACACTATGCTACACATCAGAACAAAAACTAGTTCAGCCTAGGTGAGCAGAGATAAGGTGCCACCATGCTCTTCTGATCTTTGCAGTTATAAAAAGTTCATTGACCTGGGCAACTCCATGAGGTTTGGTCAAAACAGAAGAGTTGAAATCTCAGAGCCACTCCTTCATACATTAGTTGCAACTTCATTGGCAGGATTTTTTCAAAATAAATGAACAGCTGTTGAAGATAAACTCTTTTTTTTTCCATCTAAGGATATCCATAAATTGTCCTTTACTGAGTTTTCCTTGGTGGCTGTTAGTCAATAAAGTACAGTTGTCTTAAAGGGAGAATATTGTGAAATGACCAAACAATTGCTTGGAGCTCTAGTGACAGAAGAGAAAAGTGATTCAGGTTTCATCAACATGGCTTGAAAGATGTGAAAATGGCTGCCACTGCATGAGCTGCTGCCTTAAACTGGCATTTTTGTCAAGACAGTTAAGCATCAAGGCTCCTATTACCAGTGGAGCATGTGCCTGAAAATTCAGGAAGTGCTGGATACTGAGATCTTGATGCATGAAAATGAATCCATCAGCAACAGAAATAGTGACCTAGCATTCTGGAAAGGAGGCTGCCCCAGACAGAGTATGTAGCTGGAAACAAAGGAAACATGAATCCTCCATTTGTTGTCTTGGAGCAGTACTACAGGACTCTGGAGCCTGATGTCAAGAACCCCCACTTGCCCAGTAGGAGCTCCTGTGCCAAAAGTTATGTGTACCAGGACACAAATCAGTGAGGGAGTTTGTTTTGGGGCTTGAGTCAGATGGATAAACTAAATGGATGTAGCATTTCACATCTTGATATGCATATAAAATATGCATATCATATTTTAGCTCATTCCTCACTATTATACAGAGCAATCTTTTCTACTTACCTCCTTTATTTACTTCAAAACTCACACTGCAGTTCAAAACTCACACTGCAGTTTAAAATCAGATCTTTATGTTACATTATCTTTATTTTATTTTATTTGTAGTAACGAGTATTGAATCTTTATACTGAGCTACATTCTCAACCCTTTTTATTTTTATTTTGAGACAGGGTCTCACTAGGTTGTTAAGTTGGGCAATCCTCCTGCTCCAGACTCCCAGAGTGCTGGAGATTACAGGCCTGTGGCATCATGCCTGCTGCAAATCCTACCTTTAACTCTTACCACTCCTGAGTGTTAGGACCAGTGTCCTTCTCTTAATTTCTGTTTAATACCAAGACCAAGTTCACTTCTTTGATTAGGTTTTCTGTGCTTTTATTCATTCATTCAATGAGTGAATGGAACTTCATCTTGATAATGGCAAAAAAAGGCTGGATCACAGTTGATGACATTTCTTTAATGACTTTTACCATAATTTGTCACAAATTTCCATCAGTTTTGATCATTTCAGTGCTACATATTTTATCTCAAACAAAGTGGAAAAGCATATTATAAAAAGTGATATTTCTACATTGTGGTTCTAGGCATATAAACTCAATGTTATGGTTTCTATTTTAAGGGCCATGTGTTGAAGACTCAGTTGCCAGATGAAAGTTCTGTGGCGAGATGGTGGAAGATTTTGGAGGTGGGGCTTAGTGGGAGCATTAGGTCATTGAAGGCTTGCCCTTTGAGGGGATATTGGAATATGTTTCCTGCCATGTGACAACTCATTTGCTTTGCCTTGCACTCTGTGTTAGTATTTAGTTTTCTCTAACTGCTGAGACAAAATGCCTGACATCCAAAGTTGAAGGGGAATGGGTTTATTCATACAAGTTTCAGTCCATAGTCAGCTGACTTCAAGAGAGATGGCAAACAGACATCACAGAAGAGAAACAACATGACACCCACACAGTAGGAAAGGCAACAAGAGAGTTTAATAGCATCTTTCTGCCCCTTTCATTGTATTAGGACTACTGGAATAAGGGTGTTTCCGAACCCATCACTCACATGTAGTTGTTTAGTAAACACATGCACTTAACCCCAACATTCCAGATTCAAATACCTCTGAAAAAGAAAGTCCCACCTCCTGCACAAGGCTTTAGGAGGACATCTGAACACAAACCATAACACACTCCTACCCTGATATTGCTTCTCTTCATAGGCACAAAGTGATGGGGGTGGGGGTCAACTGACCATGGATTGACACCTCTGAAATCATGAGCCAAAATAAATATTGCCTTTACTTAAGTTGATTTTCTCAGTTGCTTTTCACAGTGACAACAATCTGACCGAGATACTCACCAATTTTCTGCTTGGCATAGTGTAAGTCAGAGAACATCACAGAGAAGAAATTAGTTATGTGTCATGTTTGTAGGGCCCAAATGTCAGGAAAGGATGAGGAAGAATTTTATTTTGTATTTGTGTGAGCTATTGGCATATGTTTTGCAACACATTGTTTTTATTGTTCATCTCCCTTATTCTATGAACATGTGCAAATCAGGAGCTTCTTCTGGTATAAAAATTTAATGAAAAGTCAGTTACTGCTGTCAGATACCTAGCCACAGTCACTCATCTATTCCTCTATGGCCTTCCAAACACTGACTGTCTTCACTTCCTCTATCAAATACCACCAAAGTGAGGTCTTATCCCCTTCTTGTAGTACTTCATTATTGTACTTTTAACCTAGAATGAGTGTTCATTTAATTTCAAAGCAATTCTTTTCATCTATACACATTTTTAATTTTCTAATTCAATTTTTACCACTGATATAGGTGCCTTCAATTGAGTGAAATGTGCCATAATTTTTTCCAAAAGAAGAGCCAACTTGTTTTTACATTTATCAACTTTTCATTTAGTGCCATAATTTCCAGAAACAAGTTAAAGCCATGTGAAGGATAAGTGCATAGCATGAATAAATACAACAATTTTCAATGCCAAGTGCTGATAGTGTAGTAGTAGAAGAGGAATCTATGCAGAATACAATATAAATATGAATGAAATTTAATGCAATAGACTGAAATTGTTAAATAATGAAGAATTCAAGCAGATGGATACAGTATCTGGAGATGTGAAGCTGTTGATCCACGGTGATGGGGAAAGTCTGTTTTCACTCAGCACATGCTCTGAATGGTGCAGAGACACCATATGGCCACATAACTGAATCCAAACTGCAAGGACCAAAGGCACACTCATGGAACCTGCAAAGACCAGGAGATTTCATTCAGACTATTAAATGTTTTTAAAAGTTTTTTAACCTCTTAAATAATACAAAAGTCATCTGGTAATATAAAAATCAGAGCCTTTGGGGATTTTATTCCCCCAAAGGTGAAATTTAACATAATATTTCATCAAACAAATGGTCTTGTGTCATAGTTCTGGAATTTCCCATTTCCCCTTTGTTGCTGCTTTGCAGGATTCCCCAAAGCCCTGACTGCCTATCAAGCCCTTAGCAGAGTTTGGATACTGTCTCTGGGTGGGGTCAACCTGAGGCAGATGTGGCACTGGATCATGGACATGGGGCTCAATCCCTCGGTGTCCTGGTGCTCTGGCTTCTGCTGAGACAGGGAGTATGGAGAGGCCCAAGTGTCAGGGCTCAGAGGTCCCAGGTGTCTGAGGTTGAGGCTGTGTTCAGTGAACACCGCATGCACCATCCACTTGATCAGCCAGCATGATTCATGCTGGGAAGACCATGAAAGAGACATCACTGATTCTGGGACATGTTTGTGTTATGTTTCCACCTGTGCTTTCACACAGTGTTAACTACTGTTTACAATATAAATTCAGGAGATTTTTCTTGAGTTGTAACTGAGAAATTTTCTTCCCATAAGCAATATATTTGCAGTTGTGTTTATTGATGTAGAAAGAAATCTCATAATACCTAATAAATATTAAAATGATGAACTTCTATTTATTTTATTCACCATATTCTAAGAGAAAAACATATTATCTTAGTAATGCTAGTGTACCAGCAAATAAGTTCCCAGCCAGTCTAGCACTGCTGTGTCCCACAGTTGGAATGCTACTGCTTTATCCTCCAAGTTCATTGTTCTCAATAAAAACTCAGTGCAGTGATTGCCTGAGAGATGTTGAAACTGTCATACAAGAATCTGGTGATCCTGCAGGCCATCAAGGAAAGGAGGTGTTGCTGGAAGCAGGGATGAACCTGGGTCCCAAGGCTAGGGGAGATCCCTTCCTTATACCCTGTGCAGAGACTGGGGAGGGAGAGGTAGAGGGGGACTTGCAGAAGCCCAGCGCTCCAGGGACCTTCTCATGGCTCCATTGCCACAGCTGCAACCTCTCACCACTAGCTGAGTGTGCAAGCAGCAAAGCTACTGGACTCCTCCCAGGCTGCTCTGGAAGGAGTTCTGGGAGGGAAGGATGGGGCTGTGTTCACAGATCTGCGCTAGGAGCCCTCAGACTTGAAACATTATCTGCTGGGAATTCTGGGCGCCCTACTCTGCCAAAAATACATCTTTGTCATTTCATGTGGTCTCATACCTGGACCTTAACTGACCGGTGCCCATTATCTCTTTAGAATTCCAGCTGAACTGTTAGTCTTTTAATAGGTGGATGCTTATTTAAGAAGAATCATTGAATTTTCTACAGAATCCCGCCTGATAATTGGTGGAATAGGACCAGGATTCTGAATATGGCTCGAAGATTCAGTCAAGACATTGGGGCCCCAAATCAAAAAGGTTCTATGTTACAAATCTTCCATTAGATGCCAAACATACAACACAATAAACAAAGCACAGGGCCTCATCCAAGAAACACCAGGACTGCAGAAGAGATACTTTCCCATTAGGGAGAAAATAACCCAATGCAATCTCTGCATCAATCTCTAAACTCACAATGGCTGCGGGAACTCTCTGCACATTGGGCCATATCTCCCTCATGGACAAGTTCCTTGGTATTTAATCTTTTACTTTGTGATTTGTAATACACCCTGACTGTCTTAACTACTTCTCTGGCTTTTCTGAGACAAAATACCCAACACCTAAAGTTAAAAAGGGAAAGGTTTACTTAGCTCACTCTTTGTAGAAATTTCAGTCTATAATCAACTGACTCCAAGGCAGGAGGGCTTGGCAGAGGGTTATTGCCAAGTAAAAGTTGATGGGAAGCAAAGACAGCAAAAGCAAGCCAGCAAAGAACAAGATGAGCATCTTTCTGTTCCTTATATTGTGTCCAGACTCCCAGGATCAGGATGGTGCCAAAGCAATCAGTGCACTGATTTAATAATCACACACCCTTCATCCCATTGCAACACATTCTAGATTCAGCCACTGCTTAAAAAGCCACTTATAGTCACATGAGGCTTTGGGGGGACATTGAGAAGCAAACCATAACACTCTCTCTGATGCTCCTTCCAGGAGGATCTTAGCGTCTGAATGGTGGGTCAGTAATGAGGCAGTTCGGGTGGCAGGAAAAGGCACACAACTCTGAATGTGGGCAGCCATGAGGGAAATGGGAATGAATTGGCCTTGTGAATTCAGTGATGGAGAGGACAGAACCGATCTCTATTCAGAGATGCAAAGCTTGTTCTGAACCACAAAGAGAATGATACTTCACTCTACACTTGTTTGAGCAGCAGGATTCTACACTGTGGGCCAAGGAGAAACATTTTTCTGCAGGAAATCTGTGGTGCTCTGTTCTGCATGGGGACCCCATCAAACACTGAGAGAAGCCAGCCCTGCAGCTGCATCTAGCTGAGCCCAGTCCCTGATGATTTGCATGCTCCCAGAGCACAGCCAGCTGCTGGAGGACTTCTTAAGAGGCTACTGGTCACACCCTCTGCAGGAGTCAGTCCTAGTCAGGACACAGCATGGACATGAGGGTCCCCACTCAACTCCTGGGGCTCCTAATGCTCTGGGTCCAAGGTGAGGAAAAATTGAACTGGGAATTTACTCTACCCACTGTGGTCAGAGCACCCCACTATTCAAGGAGGGCCTATTTTATCATGATTGTGTTGATATTTGTTATGTTTCTAATCTCAGGTGCCAGATGTGACATCCAGTTGACCCAGTCTCCATCTTCTCTTTCGGCATCCATAGGAGACACTGTCACCATCTCCTGTCAGGCGAGTCAGGGCATAAACTATTATTTAGCCTGGTATCAACAGAAACCAGGGAAAGCTCCTAAACTTCTGATCTATGATGCATCTAACTTAGAATCTGGGGTCCCAGCGAGGTTCAGTGGCAGTGGGTCTGGGACAGATTTCACTCTCACAATCAACAGTGTGGTGGTTGAAGATGCAGGAACATATTACTGTCAACAGTATAATAGCTACCCTCCCACAGTGATACAAGCCATAAGAAAAACCTCCCAGGGAAGCAGAAGTGTGAGCCTGGGGTGCCCCAGCTGCCATTCCTGCAGTCACCACCTGCTGAGAGCATTGCTCAGATGAAGCCTGGCTTTAGCTTCACTGGAAGGGATTGGTAGAGGGTGGAGGGAGGCTGTTCTGCACCTTAACTCCCTTTCCTCCTCCTCAGCTCCTGGGGCACTGACATCACAGTGCCTGAGCTGATTCAATGGCGGACAGCAAGAATGTCCCGGATCACTGTGCATTATGGCATCATTTTGGATTTACACAGCATTGGAGAAGCTCTTCTATGTTTTCCTCTATATTTAAAGACTTACATCTTTTTCAGAGTAGAAGTAAGTTCACTACAAAATTTCTGGTGCAGAAGTGTCCCTTATACCCACCTCCACAGATACAAAGTCTCTATCACCAGCATTCCATTATAATTTTTTTGCAGTCAGTCAATATCAAATTACCAAAGTCCACAGTTCACATTGAGGTTCACTCTCAAGTTGTACATAGTTTTCAAAAGCATAAACAAATATAGAATGACATAATAAAACATTCTGGCATCTCAAAATGTTGCACAGCCCTAAACATCCTCTATATTCCACTTGTTCTTTGTCTTTGGCCCCATATCCTGTAAGTCATTCATGATTCAGCATCCCTATAGTTTTTCACTTTGCAGAATGACAAGCCCCTGGAATTTACAGGATGGGAGCTTTTCAAATACTAATATAATAATACACTGAATTGGGCTGGGGATTTACCTTAGTGGTTTCACCGGCTGCTACGCAAGCACAAGGACCCAAGTTTGGTCCCAAGTACAAAAAATACACTGAATTATGGAACACAATTATGAAATATATTGAATAATACATCTGTCTAACTTCC